AAAAGAAAAAAAATCCAAACAAAAAAAAAAAAAAAAGCTACTCTGCCAGAAGCTAAGCCTAGAAAACACACAGTGCGGGAAAGGAGTATATTAGGCAATAACAACAAAACTCGCCTTTTTATAAACACAAAGGCCATTATCTGAAATCTGACATCCTATGACAGACTGGGTGTTGATGGAGTAGATGTCATACAGTAGATAGCTATTCTATTATATGGGTATTCATGACCTCTATAAATGCTTCACCCTGGTTACTTTCAGAGAAGGGCTCAGACTTCACACAGCAATCAGCCCTCAATTAATGAATAGAGTGTAACTCTTGCCTGGAGATTGAAGCTCTAAGATAGCTTTTAAAATGATGGTTAATGAACCAGCCATGTTGTAGTTTTAACATACTCCGATCAGCCATAATATTATGACCACTGAGAGGTGATTTGATTCCTAGTTTCAGTGGTACCTGGAAATGGAAGGATATATTCGGCAGCATGTGAACATTTTGCTCCTGAAGATAATGTGTTGGAAGCAAAAAAAATGCGGGAAAATGTAAGGATTTCAGTGACTTTGACAAGGGCCAAATTGTGATGACTAGACGACTGGGTCAGAGCAACTCCCAAACTGCTGCTCTTGTGGGATGTTCCCAGTCTGCAGTGGTCAGGATCTAACAAAAGTGGTCCAAGGAAGGGAGACCAGTGCACCAGTGACAGGGTCATGGGTGACCAATGCTCACTGTTGCACGTAGGGGGTGAAGGCTGGCCTGTATAGTCTGATCCAACAGAAGAGATACTGTAGATCAAATTGCTGAAAAAGTTAATGGTGGTTCTGATAGAAAGGTGTCTGAACACACAGTGTATGGCAGTTTGTTGTGTATGGGGCTGTGTAGCCACAGACCACGCTGTGGTGCCCATGCTGACCCCTCATGTTTTACATCATGTGGATGGCCGGGTGCGTGTGCATCGCTTACCCGGGAAAGAGATGGCACCAAGATGCACTATCAGAAGCAGGCAAGTCGATGGAGGCAGTGTGATGCTCTGAGCAATGTTCTCCTTGGAAACCTTGGATCCTGCCATTCATGTGGATAAACATTGTTGCTGACCAAGTACACCCTTTCCTGGAAAGGGTATTCCCTGGTGGCGTCTTTGAGCAGAATATTGCACCCTGCTACACTGCAAAATTGTTCAAGAATGGTTTAAGGAACACAACAATGAATTTGGGGTGTTGACTTGGCCTCCAAATTCTCCAGATCTCAACCCAATTGAGCATCAGTGGGATGTGCTGGAAAAACAAGTCCAATCAAAGGCCCCACCTCCCAACGTGGAGGATTTAAAGGACCTGCTACTGACGGCTTGGTGGCAGATATCACAGCATACTTTCAGAGGTCTAGTGGAGTCCATGCTTTGATGGGCTGTTTTAGAGGAAAAGGGGGACCTACTCAATATTAGGCAGGTGGTCATAATATTATGGCTGGAGTAGCTTGTGCGGGATTTGCTGTGCTTAACAAAGTTGATTGTAAGTGCCGCATCTACTTGGAGTTCACTATCTACAATTCTGGGGTAAGGGATCATGAGAAATCACCACCCGTCCTGGAGGAGCCAGGAGACTAAAGTAATGTTATGGTTAATAGGTGTATGTGGCTTTATTGCATTTACTAAGTGGAATAAGCTCTTCAGAGTTAAACATGCCAGAGGGAGGAGCTTGTGCAGAATTTGCTGTGCTTAAAGTGACATTAAACCCTCAGATAAACCAATACTGTAATGTGCGCCTTACTGTAATGCATGGTTGTTTCCCTTCTCTTTGCTGCTCCTCCTTTTAAATCCTCATGTCTTCTCATGCTGGGGGAGAAGTTCCCTTTGCAGCTGAGTGCCTCTTCCTGTAGTGCTGGCTCAGGTTGTGAACCTTCACACAGACACCATGTATCCATTCCTGAGACAAGGCAGTCTGCTGCAAAACAGAAGTTCTGCCCAGCATGAGAAGAGATACAGATTTAAAAGGAAGAGCAGCAAAGAGAAGGGAAACTACCATGGATTACAGTAAGGCGCACATTACAGTATTGGTTTATGTTACAAAATCTGAGGGTTTAATGTCACTTTAATAAACTGTATTGTAAGACTGGAACTTGGAGTCCAGCATTTACTTTTCTGGAACTTCTGGGGGAAGAGATCATGAGAAACCGCCACCCATCCTGGAGGAGCCAGGAGACTTAAGTACCTGGAGTGCAATCACTTTTTGTAAACCGCTTGTATAAGATGTTTGATGAAGCAGCCAAGTTTACATTGCATTTATTACATGGGCTTCCTTTGCTGTAGTTTAGATATTTTCTGTGCTTCTCTATAATGACTGACCTCACCGTTTTTCCAGTGTATGGGATTCTGGTAAATATCAAGCTGCTCTTCTACTACTTCAGATGCTGCTTTAAAACTTCCAAATACATAGGAAAAGAAAGTTCTGTTCATCCTTTTATAGACATAATTATGGATTTGATAGGATGTGGACATTTCTCCTTTCTTGGTAAAAAAAACGTCTTCACCGGTGGGATCTCGAAAGTGTATTTTCCTTAAAAATGACTACAAGAAAGAACAAAAATAACAACAACAAATACTATTAGTCTTATTGTTCCCCTCGTAACCCCCGAATAGGCGAAGTGGTCAGATATGTTTTAAAAATCATTGGCACCTATTACAGATGACGTTTCTCCAGTTACTGTTTGGGAAGGACATAAGTTGGTCATTCGCGGTGCATGCATTCAATTAGCATCCTCTATTCAAAGGGAAAGATTACAGATGAAACTCGAATAATTAGAATATCATGAAAAAGTAATGGCAGTAAGTGCTGCAAAAGGGGCCCAAACCAAGTACTGAGTACATATGCATGCTTGTACTTTTCAGAGGTCCGATATTGTTCTATGTACAATCCTTGTTTTATTGATTGCATGTAATAATCTACTTTTTTGAGGTTGTGGATTTGGGGTTTTCATGAGCTGTAAGCCATAATCATCACAATTATGACAAATCACGGCTTGAACTATCTTGCTTTGCATGTAATGAGTCTCTCTCATATATTAGTTTCACCTTTTAAGTTGCATTAGTGAAATAAATGAACTTTGCACGATATTCTAATTATTCGAGTTTCACCTGTATCTACACAAAAACTTCTAGAAAAAAATGCTTTACCACTGCTGCTTCCCAATTTCAACTTTATTCTACCAGGGCGAACGGTCTCAAACTAGATGCTGCCAAAAGGGATTAAAAATGTGAATCTATCCCAATCCGCTGACTAACAGATCCGTAGAACTCAACATTGCTTTTACAAGAAAACGAACCAACAAAACTCTATGGTAGCAAAATGCCTCCGAGACGCTGACCCACACCATAAGCCCTTCAAACTTCATACTAGTTCAAACACAATTACCTCTAACCCCTCCCTAATAGTGCAAGAATTTCAACGCCACCTATCAGAATTATATTACCCTGATAACACATTTTCCACCCCAAGTAGTAGACAAACTCTTTTCTTCTATTGCCCTACCTACAGTTTATAATGAACTTAAAGAACTACTCGATTCCCCAATTACTGTGAAAGAAACTACTGCAGCTATCAAATCCTTTAAGCCACAAAAACGTGCAGGTCCAGACAGATTCTCCTCCTCTCTACTACCGAATATTCTCTGATATCCTCTCCACACCTTTAACAACATAATCTAATGCACTTAGATCAGGGCAACCATTAGGACGTGACTCTTTATCTGCCACCATCTGCATGTTACCCAAACCACATTCTGATACTACACATTGAGCAAACTATAGACCATTATCCCTTTTAAACATCGATGTCAAAATCTTAGCTAAAGTCCTTGCGAACAGCCTTAGTACTGATATTGGACATCTAATCCACAGAGATCAAGTGGGTTTTATGTTCTGGATATTATTATAAACTTATGCGCATAGAAATCCACTGCGCTAAAAAGCACAGTTCTCAGCTCTTTTGTATAATATGATCGAACGCACTGAGCGGTAGCAAGTAAAACAGACACAGGCTGTTCTCACGTTGGATGCTCAGTAGAAAGTCCTGTCTAGTGCAGGGAGACCCGTTTATTTATAGGGCACAAAAGGGATAACAGCACCAAGTGATGCCAGTATGTTGCGCTAGGTGAAATTAAATCAGGGAGAACCAACTCTAATTCTCCTCCATTCACTTGTGATAAGTAAATAATTGGTGAATAAACTTTGGATAAGTGAACTTGTGAATTAATAAATGTTTCTCTGTGGTCTGTGTAAACAGACAAATCTGTGTTTGGTGAAAAACTGTATAAATCTGTGATCTCTTAAATAAAAATTAATTATTAACAGTGTCCGGACTTGTAGTCTTCAATATATTCAACTAAGTGATATGTGATAAGTGTTCTTAGTCTAACTTACTCTACAAAAATTACAAGTGCAAGTATTCCTCAATACATTTACATAACACAGAGTCAGCCAATGAGACGCATGCATACATTTGAATAGACAATAGAAAGGGGAGTATGTGCACATGAAGGTGCAACACACCATGCACAGTTTCCAGCTGCTAGTTCATGTGAACTCCATGCACACTAGTTAACAATGAAAACCATGTGCAATGGAGTTCCCGCCAAAACACTACACAAAGGAATCAGCGTGCTATGGACGTCGCTCCGATCAGACCTGCGCACATACTCCCGCCGTTACCACTGGCGCGAATTCCACTCAGCATTGTTCAGTGAACAATGCCTAATAGAACTATAGTACTATTCCCATGAATGTGAGTTTATCTGCAGGGAAACCGCCATATTATTTCCAATGTGTTGATCAGACACACTAAAAAGACATGAGCGTATGTTCCTTTCATAAAGGCAGATATGTATCCAAACGATACCGTGTCCTCAAAAACAAATACATCCCTGCCAAGCGAATAAATCTGCGCATTACACAGGGGCCCTTGCGATCGTCCATATACCTGGGAAGAGGACACCGCTCCGCAATGCACATCATTTCCCCCCAGGGCAACAGCCCAGCGCATAGCACATGGACCATTCACCGGCGTAGATATCTGCGCACAGCTGCCGCGTCTCCACATCCACAGGAAGATATCCACTCCAATAGTTTATCCTCAGTGCTGATTAATCCCGGCCCAGCAAACCTGACACTGAGAGACGTGATGACAATATTCACATATACAATCTACTAAAAACACATCCTAATAAAAACGTCCACAATAGTCCAAATACGATTTCCACAACACTTTATTCCCTCCCGTCAAGCCACAGACAACATACGTACAACTGCCCTCCTTACTCATTTGGCTAAAAAATGTGGTATCCCTTTAATGCTCCTCTCTTTGGACATCAAAAAAGCTTTTGATTCACCCTCCTGGCCTTTTATCTCCTATACTTTGGACAAGTGGGGCTTTGGTCCACATTTCCGACAAAGGGTGTCGGCTTTTATGCACACCCATCAGCTAGAGTGAAATATGCAGGCTTCCAATCTGACACTATTTCTGTAGGTCGGGGAACAAGACAAGGATGCCCTTTGTCCCCCCTATTATTTGCACTGGCCATTTAACCACTTGCCCAAATGATTTGCAACCATACTGACATCACTGGTCTCACGGTGGCTAGTCATAACCACAAACTCTGCCTGTTCTGTGGTGACATACTTCTCTGCCTTACAAACCCATTAGTATCCATCCCCAACCCGATCTCTCTCCTCCAACAATTTGGCTTATTGTCAGGTCTTCCAATTAATATAGACAAAACTAAGGCTTTAAATATATTTCTACCAACACCCCTCACCCTCCATCTCCGCACTACACTTCCTTCTCCGTGGGAAGACTCCAGACTATCATATCTAGGGATTCACCTTACCAACATCTTTGATTCCCTTTATGATGCCAACTACCCTACACTACTTCGCCAATTAACGTCTTTACTATCATCCTGGAAAACATATCCTCTATCATGGTTAGGACGGATAGCCGCAATTAAGATGACATATCTACCCAAACTGCTATATATTTTTAGAGTTCTCCCAACAGCAGTTCCCCTTCACGTTTTCCGCATTTTGCAATGCCAACTGCTTACTTTTATCTGGAACACTCGTCGCCCACAAGTGTCTAAATTTTCAACCAAGGGGTCTAGGGGTCCCAAATTTAGCTATGTTACTATAAAGCTGCTCAAATAGCATCTATAACTAAATACCATGCAACTTCTTAAACCCCTCTTTGGGTGGCTTCGGAAGCCATCGATTGCAACCCCATTGGAATCGCAAATCTCCTCTGGCTACCATCTCACAGCAGACACTCGTTGCAAAACCCGATTACAAAACAATCACTTTGTGTCTGGGACTGTAAAATGTTCCGGAGGTCTCATCTCACCTCCCGTACCCTTATTATCTTCGCTCCAAAATCCATCCTTTCCACCTGGCTTAGAATCTCCTAGATCCTTGGTTCTCAACTGGTGGGTCATGACCCAAAAGTGGGTCGTGACCACATGTTCAGTGGGTCACAGCGTGCTTTCCACTTTTCTAGGTGAAAGGCTCCTCAGCCTCCACCTTTCGCACCACTGTCCGTTCTCACGCCAAAATATTCTGCCCGGCACCAAGTGCAAGCTTGAGGCAGAATGGGCTGCGGCTATGGCTGCGAGTGTGCTCCATCCATACGTACAGCTCCCTCGTATGTCCTGTAGAGGTGCCTGGACTGGAGTGATGTCACAGTCTGACTCCCGGCACCGCTACAGTGCACACAAGCAATGCACATATGGATGGAGATTCGTCACAGCACAGCAGCCTTCACTGGACCAGAGGCTGAGAATCCACTCCAGTTCTCGTAAAGTAGGGAGAACGGGTGGAACTTTAAAAAAAAATATATATATTTTTTGGAATGTGTGTGTGTTTGAGAATGGCTCTGTGGTTGTGTGAGTCTGTCTGTGTTTTTGAGGGCCCGTTCACACTAGTACAGTGCAATAATTGCACAGTCCTGTGCAATTAAAGCACTGTATCATACAATCGCACCTACCACGCGCTCTGCTGTAGGAGCTGTGTTACGTTGCCATTCATTTGAATATCATCCCAAACGCACCTCCCACCCAAAGTCCGATCGCAATACGGCTTGGGTCGCGACTTAATGACCAAGGACAAATGTGGGTCCTGAGGTTACACCGGTTGAGAACCACTGCCCTAGATCATTTAGAAGATGGACTTCGAAAGGCCCCCTTAGCTTTCATGCCCTTCTTAACATCTCAGGCATCCTTCTATTCCCTCAACCGCAACATAGATTTCAACTCCCTAACTCTGAAATTTTTCGTTATTTACAGATTAAACATTATGTCACTTCACTCGTTCACTGTTACCCCACCACGTCATCTCGAACTGCGTTTGAACGTATATGTGCTGATACTCCGCACGCTAAGGGAGTAATCTCCTTGCTATACAATAACCTGATATCTGGTTCTCTCCCATCCCATAATTATATGAAAGCTTGGTCTCAAGACCTAGATATACAATTAGACTCTGAACAATGGTCACAAATATGGAACACTACTAAGTTATGTTCTCGTAATACCTCGGCCCAGTAAAATCAATCTCTGGGCCTATTCTCACTAGGGCCATGCATTAATTGCACCCTGCAAATGCACCTAACATGTGTTGCCATCCAGGAGGTGCGTTGCATTGCCATTCATTAGATATATATACATATACAGGTGAAACTCGAATAATTAGAATATCGTGCAAAAGTAATTGCAGTAATTGCTGCAAAAGGGGCCCAAACCAAGTACTGAGTACATATGCATGCTTGTTCTTTTCAGAGGTCCGATATTGTTCTATGTACAATCCTTGTTTTATTGATTGCATGTAATAATCTACTTTTTTGAGGTTGTGGATTTGGGGTTCTTGGGGTTTTCATGAGCTGTAAGCCATAATCATCCCAATGATGACAAATCACGGCTTGAACTATCTTGCTTTGCATGTAATGAGTCTCTCTCATATATTAGTTTCACCTTTTAAGTTGCATTAGTGAAATAAATGAACTTTACACGATATTCTAATTATTCGAGTTTCACCTGTATGTATATATATATATATATACACACATACAATGGTAGTAGGCTGCGTACGCCTATGCTGGTTACACTTACACAATACTGAATGCATGTGTTGCACATGAAAAATATGCCTGCTACTGTCCACTTTATTCTCTATACATTACCTTTATGAAGCACTTATGGTTTTTTATATAATGGATGTTGCTCTTAGTATTGCTGGACATATATAATTGGATCTCATGTAGAGAATGTGCCATGGCGTAGACAGCTTTGTAGACTTGATAAGTGATTCCGAAATTCTGAGTATCAAAACATATACTGGTAAGTTGACTAAACTTTGCGCTCTCGTTGCACGTATGAAGTTTAATACCGTGAGATTCTAGGAATTCATCAAATTTTTGATCCGATGTTTTACAGCGCAAACAAAGCCCAGCAATCTGTTTGAGCAAAATATCATTTGGACGATTTGCAATGCTGATATCTTCTAAGAAGTTCCTCAGGGGTGGGATCTGTTTAATGGTGGGCGAAAATAAGAGACAACCATTTAGTTTCCCTACGCTTTTTAAAGATACGACCTCTTGAGCAAAAGAACCGGCCGGTATGATTAATGTCTTCTCACGAACTCTGCTGTATTCTATTTTCAGAAAATTGATCATGGTCAAGGAAGTGGAACCACAAAATACGACTATTTTAGAGGTTGAATGTTTGAAAACTCTTGTTTCCTCAACCAACGTTTTAAATTTTTGCTGACTGTAGTCGCATGGTACCCTAATAGTGTAGTCTATGCAAATATTGTAAAAGTCGGCCACTTTCCTTAATTCTTGGCTCTGTTTTTCTCCAGCATCATCGTCAGAAGCAATGACTCCAATCCAGGTCCATCTGAAATGAAGGAGTAATTTAACAATTGCCATGTTCTGGGTCTGGTCACACGGGAGAGTTTGGAAGAAGGATGGATAGACGTCCTTATTGGTTAAAGCTGGGTACGATGGGCCGCAGTTGATCTATGTAAAACAAAAAAAACATATAAAAGCATATTTTGGTAATATCCTGGTGATGGGATCATTGCAAGTGTTACTGTAAGGCCCGGTTCACACCTGGGCGTTTTGTAGCGCGTTCCAACGCTCTGCAAAACGCACAAACACCGAAATCCCATTATTTTCTATGGGTATGGTTCACACCTGGGCGTATTACAGGCCGTATGAACGCGATACAAAACGCCCTACGCCCAAAGAAGTACAGGAGCTTCTTTGGGGTGATTTTGTCGCGCGTTTCCATTGGGATACAGCCAAGTAGCCCTTGGAAACGCGTGTTTGTCGCGCATATTCGATACGCCTAGGTGTGAACCCAGGAGCTTTCACCTTTTCTCAAAGGTGTCCACTAACCTCTGAAGATCTTGTTTACTTACAAAGAAGGGTGCCAGCCAGGTAGTTCCTGATTTTGTACAGATCATTATTGGACATCCAGTGTCGGGGTCTTGGGAGGCTTCCCAACAACTGCAGTAATCATTTCTATGGAAATTGGTTTTGAGAGTTTGCAGGGGAGGAGAAAAATGCAGAGTGTAGGGAATGGTAGGTGTCGGGAAGCCAGAACCAGCCTGTGTGGCCGGGGCTCTGCACCAGGGCATGCTCATGGCCACAGTTTGGCTTATAGAATTGTGCACAGCCATATGCCTCCCATGTCAGCGTGCATTTTTGCATGCGCTCAGTGGCGTGCGCATAGATGTGTGCATACGCTCGTTATTAGCTGTGGTGCCAAACATCCTATTTAAGACATCCTAGCCTCCAGTGCTGAGTGATCGACAGCCTTCCAGCTTGTTCGACCCTTCTAGCTACTCTGTGTTTCTGTGGCCCGTACCTGACTGCCCGCACATTACTGACCTCGGCTTGTTCATCACTTCGCTCCTGCCTTTCACCAAGTAATGCTTTGCTCGTCTGTTGAAGACCTGGCTAGTTCTGACCAAGACTTTTCTAGAACTCTGCTCCTCCGTGTTCCTAACCTGTGCCTGTGTCCTACCAGGGACTCGCTGCCATCACTGAGACTGTCCTTTCCTGCACTAGTGACATTAACGGTACTCATGCTTTGTCAAGTCCCCACACACCGGTTCTGCCATCCAGGGGCTCTGGGACTGGAGCTGCAGGGGAGGCTCCCCTCATCAACTTAGACTCATGACAGTAAAACATGGTGGGTATCCCAGCTCTCCACAAAGCTGTATAAGACACTACTGTGTTGAATGTCCTTCACCATCCACTTCCCTCTAATGTTGACTCTTTCTTCTTCCTCCTTTCCACTTGTTCCATTTCCATATGCAGATTGCCTTTTTCCTTTGTCACTGCTCCGTAAATGCATTGCTGCACTCTATACACCCTAATACACACAAGTGCAATCTTCATACTGCGCCAAACACTATACAACTAAAAGCATGTGGACCATAACTTCTTGTCCTGACAGGAAATGAGAAAAAAAGTCTCCATAATAGGTCCACAGACAGCAATAAAAACCTGATGAAGCTTTCTTCCTTCTACACTCTGTCCAAAGTTATATACAACGTTTTGGCTGGAATTTCTCTGTAAGAGCTGGGTTTAGGAATGAAGTTGGAAACCCAGTGATTGCAGTCCATTAGAATATTACTAAAGTGCATTGCCTAGACTGTCAGCTTCTTTAGAAGGAGAAGGATCATTCCTCACTGCAATGCAGCCTGTGCTAGGTACTCCATAGCTTTTTAGTGTTTCTTCAATTTCTGTGAATCAGCAAATAATTGATTTCTAGGACTGGGCTGCAGTGTCTGTAATAGTAATGGCAGCTTCAAGGCTGCTTGGCAGTGCAGGTAAATAATAGTTCCAAGTTGGGCAGACCCACTACGATGAGTATCCAGAGGGCATGAAAACAGATTTTACCATTCTTGCCCAAAACCACCCCCCCCCCCCTCCATTCTCTTTTTTTTTAAGTTCTTAAGGTGCCTCACCCTGTGGAGGTGCCAGGAGCCAGAATGTTACTTCACTCCGGTCCAGGCACTTCTACAGGACACACGAGGGAGCTGTAAGCAATGCACTTATGGGTGAGCTCCCTCGCGTCCATAGCCCCATCCTATCCCACCTCAAGCTGACACTTGGCACCGGTCAGCATATTTTGAATGGCTGCTTGGCACGAGAATTGACAGTGCTGTGCCTTTCACCTAGAAAAGTGGAAGGCATGCTGGGACCCAGTGAACATGGGGTCACGACCCCTGTTTTGGTCACCGCCCACCAGTTGAGAGCCAAGGCTTGAGAGGTTTGATGTCTGTTGGTATAAGCTGACATTAAAGTGATGTTGCAGGTCAAGTTCTGAGTATATTCGCCAGCATTACTTTTGTATTATGTTTATGGGAAAATAATGATTACCTGCGTGTAGCCATATAAGTTCAGTATCTGTACGATGTGTAAAGATCTCTCTGCAGATGGATAGAAGATGACACCGGCCAGCTTGTCACTGTCTAGGCAGGAGAAGTTTGGGATGAGGTCTCCAGGACCAG